CCCCCCCCCGCGGGGGTTACGCTCCAGTTCAGAGGTTGGAGGGAGTACAACACCCGAGCATCAGTCGCGCCAATTTGATGCCCGATTTAGCACAGGCAGTGACTGCGTGACGCTCCCTGCCCGCTCCCCCCGCTGACCGGCAAATTAGCCGGGATTGTCACGGTCCCCCTCCTCCCGGGCAGCCCCCCCTCCTCCTCCTCCTCCTCCTCCTCCCGCCGCTTTCAGCACCACGAGGGGAGCGGTCAGCTCCCGCCGCGCTCCGCGCCCGCGCAGCCCCCGCGCAGGCGGAGAGAAGCCGCCCGCTGCCCCGCCACGCTGCTCCCCGCCCTGGGGCCCTGCCGTGTGTGTGTCCTGTCCCCCCGCCCCGCGTCCCCCAAATCTTTCCGCTCCCGCCGGATTTCTGCCGTTTACAGGCGGATCGAGCTTACCGCGGGCACGGCCCGACTTCCTCCTCCTCCTCCTCCTCCGCGTACCAACCCTCCCCTCCGTCACCTCGGGTCTCCCACTTCGGCGCTTCTCGTTTAGACCGTCGGTGGTATTCAAACGACATGGTCGCGGCGAGAAGGCAGGCTACGGGGGTATGATTCTTACAGCACTGAAGTATTATAATGCTGGGAGAACAATTAAAAAAAAATCTAATTACACAAACAAGCTATTAATTTAAAAAGAAAACAGGGAAAGGGAGAGAGAAAAAAAAATAACCCAAGCTCTTCCATTCATCCTCCGGATAATGGAATTTGCTTCCTTTCTCCAGCATGTGAATAGCCTAACAAAAACAACTTGAGCTTTATAAATAGCTTTTCATGTCCATTTAATGAAAATTATTTGGGGAAAGAGACGATTGTGCCATCAGTATTCTCCCGAGGAGCCTGGCATGCCGTTGTGTTTAGTTTGAAAGTGTAAATCTCTTTTGTTCCAATAATATATGGCGTTAGCTGCTTGTCCTCAGTCTTTTTCTGTTAGTTCATTACTACACAATTACCATTCACGCTTCATTAGCATCTCTGTCTCTTTTGGGGAGGTTCCCCCCCCCCTTTTTTTTTTTTTTTTTTTTTTAAGGCGAAACTCTGCCCTTTTTATCATACCAATGCCATTGGGAACCAGGCAATGTGCTAATTAGCAGTTACTTTTCATGTCTTTGGATTGAATTCTCCAACTTTGGAGGGGGGGAGAGAAGAGATTAATATAAAAAGATGAATACTGATTGATCAAAACTGCATCCAAAGGAGCGGTTTTGTTCAAATCAGAAAAGTCCTCATTTTCATCTCGAGCATAATAAAGCGTCTGAAATGATAAAAGCGACTGAAAAAAATCAAATGCTTCTCTGAGCGGGAGGGAAAGCTTTTTTATTATACCTCTATCTTAGCTGGTACGGCTCGCTTTGCCTTTTCAGGCCGGAGACCTTTGAATCTCTCAACAAAACCGGCCACTATTGATCCATTTTACACGTTTGAGTTGATAGATCTAATCCCAGCGATCGCTGGCTGAAAGGGGGGCGCTTGGTTAAGCCTAAAGCTCCTTTTCACGGCTCCAGGTTGATGGGTGCCCACCCGAAGGGTGGGGAGGGGGTGGTGGGGGCCAATCCTGCTCTTCTCAGAGCTGTGTGTCCCCCCCTGCAGCTGCCTCTACCGTGGTCCCCATCCCTGGCACCTTCTCCTGGCCGCTGGCTGCCCGCGGCAAGCCCCGCCGCGGCATGCTGCGCCGGGCCGTCTTCTCCGACGTGCAGCGCAAGGCGCTGGAGAAGATGTTCCAGAAGCAGAAGTACATCAGCAAACCTGATAGGAAGAAGTTGGCAGCCAAGCTGGGCCTTAAGGACTCGCAGGTGAGAAGGGGCACAGGATGGGGAGGGGGGAGCTGGGCCCCCTGGCAGCTCGAGGGCAGGGGAGGAAAAAGGGAGCAGGGTCAGCCACCAAGAGCAAGCCCAGAGCAAGTTACAGGGCCGTGAGCATCAGAGCCGGGAGAGCGGCACGATTCCCAGCTGGGTGAGTGGGACAGGACAGACCACGGTCTTAGTGACCCCCGACCCCTCTCCCAGGGTGCCCAAAGGTCAGGTTTTGTGGTTCCTGTTAGCTTCGGTACAGGCATGAGCAGGGTTTCAGGGTGCAACCAAAAGGCCTTTCCTGGTCCCATTTTTACTGAATCATTTCACTTCTCTGTTGCTTCACCCCCCAGGTGAAGATCTGGTTCCAGAACAGGAGGATGAAGTGGAGGAACTCCAAAGAAAGAGAGCTCCTCTCTTCTGGTGGCTGCAGAGAACAGACCCTACCCACCAAGTTCAACCCTCACCCAGACCTCAGTGACGTAGGCAAGAAGTGTTCAGGAGAGGAGGAAGAGGAGGAAGTTCCCCCCGTGTGCCCACCCAGCCCCCGGCACCCCTTAACCTACCAACAGTCCCCAGAACACCTACACCTGAGGGACAGACTGGACTCCCAGATGTCTCCTTCTCCATCCCATTCTAGCAGCCCCAGCAAACCTTCAGACTTCTCAGACTCAGAAGAAGAGGATGATGAAGGGGAAGAGGAAGAGGAGGAGATAACGGTCTCTTAGATCACCCTGCCTGCCCCTACCATCACATGGAGACGTTGCAAAGATGTAAATAAACAGAGGGCTATAAATTGAAGAGGTGATGTCCCACCCAAATGTCCACGTACTTCTCCAGTGCAGGTTCTTTATCACATAGCTGAAAGACATTCTACTTCTAGGTTTTCCTTTTTTTTTTTTCCCCCCCCATGTGGAGGTTTTTTGTATTCATAGCATCTGCTAACCTTTTTATAACTCTCCGCTTAACAATCAACATTTGCTCCCTTAGTTACCTTCTCCTGAAACCAACAGGCAGCTAGCTCCTTGCTTTATAGCAGGGAGGAAAGGTAGAGCCTGTGGAGAGGGAAACTTATCTCCCCCAGATAAGAAACAACAAAAAAATACAAGATAGTTGGTGTGGCCATTTTCGCTACCTTTCAAGTGAATTTCCAGCTACTATTAAGATTTCAGACCCCTGAAGACAGGTCTGATCCAGCAACCCTTTCCTCCAAAAATAAACAACATTGAGGGACGCAAACCAAACGCTGCCTCCCTCCTCACACCGAACGGTGTGGTACTTGTGCAAGAGACCCACTGAAATCCCTGGAATGACTTCTAAGGTATACTGTAAGTGGAATGGAAATTATATATTTATATGTTTTTCATTTTAATTTATGCATCAATATTCTATGGGAAGCACTGCCTCACCCACCTTTTTTTACCCACAGTCCTGTGCTTATGTTCCACTTTGCTTTTGCTATCTGTGGTGTGGACAGAGGAAAGTGGATATGCCTCTTTGATTTTTGACTGAACTTTGCTGTCTTTGCACAGCTTATATGAACTGTACACTATTTTGTACACTTACTCTGTATGGATGTTTTATACCAAGGTTATTGTGAATGAATATAACGATGGCTCAACAAGATTTCTCTCCTTTTTTTTTAATTAAATGACAGCTAAACTACAGACAAATGTAGCTGTTTAATTGTGTAACTTATAAAGAAACGCTTTTATTTTGTATTTTACCATGTACAGACTTTAAATATGTATATATAATAAAGTGAATGATTGCCAAATAAAAAAGCAGGTTTCCAAGTCTGATCATTCAGTAATACTTGGATCTGATTTACAGGCTGTTGTAGGTTGCATCTGAGGCCAAACAGGCCAAGAAAAGAAAAATACCTTTTATTAACAGTATAGTGATTCAGTAAGAATTTACTAGCTTCAAATTAAATAACCTTACAGGAATATCCACATGCCTTTTACCTGGGGAGCAACTCAACCAGAGGATTAAAGATTTTCTGCAGTTAAAATAAATACGGATTCTCCCTCCCTGCATTTAAACACAACTGAACTGCTGCTGGTGTTACTCTGTGCTGCCCTCCAAAGCCCTTCTGGCTCTCGTCCTTCCTTCCAGTTATAACCCAGGTTAGTCAGGGTGCGGACACCTGCCCCGCATCACCATGCTAAGATACTACAGTTTGTAGACTGAAAGCATGTAATTAGAAGATTCTCACGGTGTAGAGAAACAGAACGGAAGAGATAGAATTAAGACAACTCTTCAGCCTTAAGTCCAGTCAAGGACCATTTCTACAGCACGAGGCAAATCCATACCTGCATTTTTTATTTTTTTTTTTTAAATACAAACTTACATACAGGTAGCAGAATTCTGCTGAAACAGAGATTTCATTACAAAGTTAGTTTATTTGCTGCTCCACAGACTCTGCCTAAACAACACTAAACACCACTCACAACATGCCAAAACAAAAGAAATAAATGCAGCAGCCATGACCTGAACGCAGCTATCCCTGTACGCTCCACTTCACTGCCCCGCCACAGCCACGAGGAAAGACCTGAGAGGGAGAATGATACCAGCTGGAAGGGAGCTACAACAATCAACTAGTCCAACTGCCCTACCACTTCAAGGCTGACCAAGAATTAAAGCATGTTATTTAAGGGCATTTGCCCAAAAGCCTCCTAAACACTGCCAGGCATAAGGCAGCGACCACCCCTTTAGGAAATCTGTTCCAGGCCTTTAGTGCAATTAACTGATTGAACTCAGCATCACTGCAATCCTCCACCCCCCTGACACTTCCCAGCCATTAGCAATTGATAACGTACACCTGAGATAGGGCCGAGAATGGATAAGACACATGCAGTATTTATCCCACCAAACACAGAAATTTTTTTTTTTTTTTAAAAAAAAAAAAAGCTTTTACAAAAAAGCAGCACTTCTCCCAAGTGTACCTAAAACACCATACTAATGCACATTAAACAGTAGCTGGCACAATCCACCCAAGTGTGCTCATCCATAGAAAAGCTCTGACATGCATTATCAACAAGGTATATACTGGAGGATGTATCGTTACCCACCTACTGACTCTTTAAGTGATAGAGCACCCCTTAAGAATTATAACTTGAATTTTACAAGTCCATTAAACATAAGACCATAGTTAATAACCTATAAAGACAGATCTAGTTCAAAACACTTTGTTTTAAAATTCATAGGCTGCTCCAGAGACACAGGTACCATCTCACATACCACAATACTCAAGAAAGAAACACGTTCAGAACGAGAGCAGGTATCGCTTATACGTCATCCTTCCCAATTCAGTGTTCAACACAAGCTACTAATCATCTTACACCCTCTGATCTTCACAGCTTGTCTGCACTTGGAATGTTACCAAAACCATTCATTTCAGACTACTTATTTCACCATTACTATTACATCTTATTCTGCCAGACAAACAGACTTATTAAAGAAAAATAACCTGGGTTTACCAGTTAACATGGAAAACCCCTTACCTGAAATGGGACATTTATCAATCACACTCTTCCTTTTTTTTTTTTTTTTCTTCCTTTCTTTTCACAGCAAAAAGAACATTGTATGACCACACACAATAATTTGAGATGCACAAATATCTTAAGTTAAAGAACTGGGTTTTTTACTTACCAACACCTGCTAGATCGCATCTGTGCCTCTCCAAGGCTTCCATTTCCTACTGTGGAAGGTGAAGCCAGAGGTCACAGCTCCCATGTGATGGCTCAAGCGGGACAGCTGTGCCACGAGAAGTCCTGCAGAAGCACCTACCCTGTCTTATATCAGAGGAATAAACTTATTTGCTTACCTCAAATGCACAGAGATTCTAGTTGCTTTAAGAGGACCTGATGACAACTGGTTTTGTTCCTGGTGTGCACGACATCATCTTGGGTGTATTTCTAAGAGCAAAATGTTTCATAATTTGCTGTTAACATAAAGAGTGTCAGAGGCCACCTCCTCCTCCTCCTTGAAACCAGCTGATACAAAACTGCTGGGTCTGGAATTTTTTTTTTTTTTTTTCTAAAAAAACCCACTAGCTCTCTTTTTGCTTTGGGAAAGGAGATAAGAAACCTTTCCCACCTTCATGGATTTGGAAAGAGTTACATATTGACTAGTAGCACCTGCAGTACTTGAAACTCTGGAAGGAAGTAATTCTATATGTAATGCACTCCATAACAACTGCTCTTTATGAAATTAAAGTGCTCTTTTTAAAGTCCTGGTGTCCCAGAGTGGTCTTATATATCTAGTCATCTTTCTTCTCACAGCCAGGATGGAAATATCTGACACTGGGGAACAGAAAAGGCTGAGGGGGGATTTATCTTTGGTGACTGTGAGCTCAGGGCAGCAAATTCTCAATTATTTTATCCCTTAAGAAACCAGCTGGTTCAGCATCTGTGCCTGCTGTAACTCTGATCTCCCCCAGCGTGGGAGAGTGGCATTTGGACAGGGACAGAAAGGAAAATAAATCGCTTTCCTGGGGAGTCTGTGCTGTTGTTATCTGCAGAGCTGTATGGCAGCATCCTCCACCGGCAGTCCCAAAACGTGCCTGGGATGTGCAGGGCCCTGCTTTGCCCCTCTGAAAGACAAGAAACCAGGTCTGTGAGAAACTAAGACGAACAACCTGGGAAAGCAAAAGTTGAGGCTGATCAAAGAAATGTCTCAAACACTCGCAAGACGAAACTCTGAGTCCCAGGGTGCATTCTGTGGAGGCCGAAGCTGATAAGGCTGCCCGATGCAGCTGGGGGAGAGAGCCCTGTGGAGACAGGGCCCTGTGGAGACAGGACTGCTCTGCTCTGGGGCACCTGGGCACATTTCAAGGGCCATGTGTCCGGTGAATGAACTTTGCTTCATTATCCACGAAATGCATATTAAAGTTAACACCCCTCAATATGCTAATGAGGGCTGTCACGATCATGCTAATTACATCATCCCATGGAACACCTGACCCCTCCCCGTACATGGGATATGTAGCTATGTGGGTCAACCTAGGGGAAGGACACAAGGAAAGTGGGTATAAATCAAAGGGGGGAAGAAAGGGCTCTCTCTCTGCCCCTCTCCCTGCCCCCCCTCTGCCCCCCGGCTATCTGGAGAGAGCAGTGAAGCGAAGAAGATGGAGGCCAGCAAAAAAGACAGCCTTCTCCTGGAACCCTTGTCGGTGGAATCAGCGCGGGAACCCAGACTGGTGATCTCTATTCCCCCATTCCCTCTATCTCCCTCTTTTCCTTTTTCCATTAAGAAATGCAAGGCATATTATATATTAGTTAATAAATGCTTGAACTTGGAGACTTGGACTTGTTGTCCGCTCCAGTTGGGGATTTGCAAACCTGAGTCAATTGTCCCCCTCATCTGAGTGGGATGTGACAGCCCCTCCAGTCCCCCTCCCCAGCTGAAAAGCTGCTCAGGTGCTCTGCACAAGTTGAGGAGCTGGAATTGTTTTCACCTGTGCCACAGCCAGGGCAGACAAGGCAGGCAGCCTTCTGCATAGCCCCTGTACTGGGAGCACTGTGCCAATACTGCCACGTGCCCATTGAAAAAAACACTTATCCATACGTGTAGAAATCATCTAATAAGCCACAGATGTTAGCATCATATGCAGGAAAGCATGTTTACCCCATCTGTATGAAATACTGTCTTTCCTAACAATAGCAAGCAAAAAAATCCTCACTAGCCACCCCACATTTCAGTACTGCGGAGTTTGAGAATGCCACAGTCGAGGAAAAAAAATAGTTTAAAAAAAAAATTAAATTGCCTCATTTGAAGAGCACCTGTCCTCCAGGAAAGTTTGAACATTGCAATCATCTCGAAGAAACAGAGCCCAAGATGCAAGGCTACAGTTTCCAGAAGCAACCAGCACAGGCTGAGGCTCATGAAAGGCCAAACCCCCACCCTAAGGAAAACCAGACCTCTTTGAAGAGTCCTCAGAAACACTGATGGCATTTGAAAATCTTTGCCTGGGAAGTTT